CTCCATACACCTGTGCAGGGTTCCACACACCCGTGAGGGCTCCGCACACACGTGCTCGGGTCCACATACCTGTCCTCGGCTCCGCACACCTGTGAGGGCTCCACACATCTGTGCTCAGCCCTGTCACAAATCTTTACTGAAAAGCACACGGCCCCAGTCATTAGGGCCGCTCTGTGACAAGTGGCCATCAGGTGCTCCGTGCCTGGAACTGTGCCCGATCGGCCACCTGGGGGCTGGTGGCCGCCATAGCAGGTGGCCCTAAAACACCCCTTCTTCATGCCGTGGGGAGTCTGCATTTGCCCTTGGAGGCCTGTGCTGGGCACTATCCCCGGTCCCACCTGCCCCAACCCCACAGGATAGCGGGAGGACAGAGGAGAAGGAGCCAAGAGCTCGGGCAGGGCCTTGGTGGCTCACATGGCTTTCTTCCCAAAGCTGGCCCAGCTGTGTCTGCACCCAGCAGCCCCCAGCTGTCCTTGTGGGGGATGGTCCCCTCCTGCCGGCTGCACAGGGCCCGGTGTGGGAGGCAGGCAGCCGCAGGCAGCCCACAGGCACCACGACCCCCGCCGCCATCCCAGACTGCCAGGCCCTCATCCTGCCCCCCGACCCCTCCCCAGGGCCTGGCGGGTTGGGTCCAGCTCTGCTCCCGGTCCCCGCAGCCCCCATGGTGCGTCCCCCTCTGTGCCCTTCCTCTGTCTGCCTTCCAGCCATTCCCTAAGGCCCAGTGTGCACTCACCCACCCAGGACGCCCCGCACGCTTCACACCCCGTGTGCCCTGGATGTGTGTGCCCCCAAATCCAGGCGCTGCAGCTCAACCCCCAGCGAAGTGGTGTCTGGAGGTGGGCTATGGGGGGTCCGTGGGCACGGGACCCCAGGACGGTCAGTGATCTTACAAAGAGAGACTGGGCTGTGCCGCCCTCGCTCCCGCCCCGTCTCTGCCGGGTACAAGGTGGCCGGCTGTGGACCAGGAAGGGGCTCTCGCCAAACACTGGACCAGCTTCTGGATTGTGAAAGATGCGTGTCTGTGGTCCTTCGTCATGGCGCCTGGAGCTGAGACACCCCGCCCTCAGCCCGTCCTCCCCCCGCCCCCCAGGAGGGGCCATTCTTGCTCTAGCTTCAGCCTCAGTGTCCTTAGTGTCCTCGCCTGCAAAATGAGGGTGCCGACGCCCACCGTGTGGCCCCTGGGCCCTCGGCCACACTTGGGCAGGAGTCCCACTGCCTTTCTGCCCTCTGCGGTCAGCAAAGCAATCAGCCCACGAAAGCATGGGGTCAAGGGCACCGGCCCCCACCAGAGGCCTGAGGGCCTCACCCCTGGTCTATCCCAGACCTCGAGGAGAGAAGGGCCCAGCGGGGCGGGGGGGCTGCCCTGGTGACAGGTCACTGACTAGGTGAAGGGCCCAGCAGGGCTGCAGGAGGGGCTGGGGACCGCAGGGAGGGACCGTGAAGCACAGCGAGGGGCCGGAGAGGGGAAAAGGAAGTCGGTCTGCTCAGAGCACAGGGCAGCCACCTCGTCCCGGGCCCGACCTTCAGGCTCCAGAAGCTTCTCGGGTTTCTGAGGGTGCTGGAGAGGCAGGAACTGCTCAACTTTCCCAGCAGAGGGGGGTTGCTCTCAGGCCAGGGGGGCCCCCACCCACCAGCAGGTCGGCCACGTGCACCCCGATCTCAGCCTGGGGGGGGCGCTGGGGCAGAAGCCGGCTCCCTTCCCTGGGGGCCGTGAGGGCCTGGGGGCCGGAGGGACAGGGCCTCGGGAGGCTGTGTCCAGCCCAGCCCTGGCCCCAGGCCAGCATCCGGGAGGTCAAGATGCCCATGGACGCACCCCAGGCATGAAGGGGGCGGGCAGGAGCCCCAAGGATGCAGGAAGGAGTGGGCAGAGCTCCCGCGTGGCCCGAGGCCAGGAAAGCAGAGCGGATGCCGGTGAGTGCCCAGCCGGCCACCCAGGCGGAGGCCAGGTGGTGAGGGTGCCGGAGACTTCTGTCTCCTCTGCTTTGCTTTACTGCTTTCTACTACCAACAAGGGCTATTTTTTAATTCCAGGAAAAAAAAGTGCAGAAAATGGACGGTACCCACCGGGCTCCTGGCGTGGGGTCCCACGCCGCCTCCGGCAGGACCCCGAGCAACCAGGGCTTTGGGACCTTAAACCCAGCAGATGGGGCCGGGACCCCTCTGTGACCGCCCCAGCCCTTGGAGTCCCCGGCTGTGTGATGGGGACGCTGCAGTGACTTGCAGGTCACAGTGAGGGTTCCCTCCACGTGCGTGTGCTCCCCCAACCCCAGCAGCCCGTGAGAGAGGGCTCCTCACTGCCATGTGACAGAGCGGACACAGCGGGGCCCGGCGGGCACAGGGACTCGGGGCCGGAGGCGTGCAGAGCCGAGCGTCCTGGGCCAAGAGCCCACCATCACCTGCGGCACGGCACCAGCCCCCGCCTGCCCAGGCCCCCGTCCAGCCTCACCCCGCCCTGAATGGCAGACCCCGAGCCCACAGCCCCCTGCGGAGCTGGTGCTGGTTTGGGGTGACACTGGCAAGGTGGGTGGTGGGGCATGCTGGGGGCTGCTCTGGGTGGCGGGGCATGCTGGGAGCTGGTCCTGGGTGGTGGGGCATGCTGGGGGCTGGTCCCGGGATGATGGGCCTGGCCATCTGGCGCCACACTCACCCCACCCGGGGTCCCTGGAGGGCTAAGGGAGGGGTCAGGCCCTCAGCGTGAGGGACGCAGGGTGGACTGCCGGGGGGGGACCGGAGCCAGAGTGGCATCCCCAACCTCACGCCGCCCCGCATCCTACTTTGCACCCAGGACGGTGTAAGCCGGCCCCTCCGTGCCCAGCCCATGCTTGTGGGGTCCGTGTCGAGAGGACGCGTCCCCGGCCCCCCCCCAGGCTGTCACGGGCGCCCTCCTCCCCTGAGCTTTGCCCACCAGCACCCAGCGAGCGGCCCTCCCCTCAATGCCTGCCCCCAAGAAGCCCGCCCACTTCCTGCAGTGCTGGGCCCAGCCCGCCTGGGGGTGGCCGTCGGGGAAGGCGTACAGCGCTGGATGTCACCAGGGCACAGAGACGCTGCCAGGGGCCAGGGGGCGGCCACCAGCCCAGTCCCTGAGAAGAATGACTGTCAAACCCAGTACGGCGTGAGCACCACGAGATCAAATTGACATGGAAACATGATTGATTTGCTGCTTAAAGAAACAGTCACAAAGCCCTAAAAAAAGAAGGAAAAAAGCTGCCTTCCCTTTTCATTAGAACCGCTGTCTGTCCCTGTATCCCAGGGCCAGTGTCCCCGGCCGGGGGTGGGGGTGGGATGGAGAGCTGGAGCGGGTCCATGCAGCCCTCCCGGCTGCCCACCCACCTGAGGGCTTCAGCGAGGCCAGCCTGTCCCGGGGGTCGGAGCTGGCGGGCGGCTGTGGCCCAGCCAGGACAGGAGAGCACCCAGCAGGACGAGGCGGCACTGGGCCACCAAGGCCAGGATGGCTGAGGGACAGGGGAGCCCACTGGCCTGAAGGGCATCTCGAGGTCGGCCCTCAGGAGTGTGCTGGCTGGGTCGGTCCGGGGCTCCTCTGGGCGGAGCCTGCCGTGAACCCTGCAGGAGCCCTCACGGCCCCTGGGGCTGGTCCGAGGATGCTGGGTCCCCACCCCTGTGCTGCTGCCATCCTCACGCCTGACCGGCTGGCCCCGCCCCTCGACCCAAAGGGGCTGCACGCTGTCCGCCTCCGGGAACCTGATCGAGATCGCTCTGTCTGTGATACGTTTGTCCAAGCAGCTCACAGGGGACGCCCCAGAGCAGCCCCTGCTCCCAAAGGAGCTGCCCAGGACACAGGCCTTCCAGCCCGGCTCCGAGGCAGGGCGGCCTCTGGGCAGCTGCGAGCTGTCACTCGGAGTGGGCTCTGGCTGGCCCTTCCTGCCTGGCCCGAGCTGGGGCCCTGGCTCTGCCGGACCCACGCGGCAGCGGGGCGAGGAGGGCCCGGGCAGGTGGCAGAGGAAGGGCAGAACACCTCTCCTCCCTCCGAAGCCCCCTCCCTGGACTCACTCGAGGTCCCCCTCCCACCCATGGACACTGAGGGGTCTCGGGCTGAGGGGCCTGGACTGGGTTGGCCCCTGGGGGTCTCAGAAAGGGCTCTGCTGCTGCCGTATTTGACAGCTACAACCTGTGCACCCTGCCCCAGAGGCCAGCCGGGACCCCAGGACGCTGAGGAGGGGAGCCCCACCACGCACACAGCCCCTGGCCAGGAGCAGTCCTCCCTGGGGCGGTGACACCTCACGACACAGCGCGTTCCAGTCACAGCAGGAAAGGGGAGGCCACCGCCACCGTCCAGTCGGGGGGTGGCTCTCCGAGGGAGCAGCGAGGGCGGGGCTCCCCATGTGCGGACGCTGCCAGGCGACCTCGAGGGACCCACCGCCCCATGCGCAGCAGCGCCAGGGTGGGGCGGGTCCCGGGGGAGGAGGGGCGCCCACGGGCCACGCGGCCACCCCGCCCCAGGGCTGTCCTCCAACAGGGCCCCCGGCCCGCAGAGCTCTCTGTCCTCGTCCACGCGGAAAGGGGGACGAGTCGGGCACGTGCTGTTTCCTTCTTCTTTGGGCTCTTTCAAGGGGGACGGAACTGTCACAGACAGGAGTGGCGTGTTTTCCTCTGCGTTTAAGTCTCTTTTCAAAGTGACAGCCATCGTCACCTGCACACATACAGGCGCCTCCGGCAGCATCTTGGGGACAGGGCGAGCTGGAGGCTGAGTGCTGGGCGCCCAGTGGGAGCCGAGCTGTGGGATGAATGGGGGGTGGTGGCGGGTTCCCCAGTTCTCAAGTGCACGGGGACCCCACGCCTGATGGCTGGGAAGGAAGGACCCCCCTCAGCCCCCGGGAAGCCTGCAGGGGGGCCTGTGTGGTGACAAGGGCCCTGCCTGCCCCACACAGAGCCCACGGGCCCAGGGCCACCCTCCCAGCCCTCGAGGTGACAGCGAGGGCGTCCCCAGGCTCCTGCGGCTCCACGCTGGGGAAGCTGAAGTCTGGGTCACGGGAACAAACGTCCAGCCGGGCAGGCCTGGCATGTTTCTGCGCGCGGCCGGCCAGCAGGCATGCAGGGGCCATGGAGGACGGAGGACACCCCCTGCGTCAGAAGCTCCGGGAGAACAGCCATGCCCTCATCGTCGGTGACCTTGGGGGAAGCAGAAAGGACGCAGGTTACCACAGGTCGAGTCCAAGCACCAGGCCTGGGTGCCCAGGGGCCTTCTGCACATCTGCCTCTGGCTCCGTGGCTCATCGGGAACCCGGGGCCCCCAGCTCCCACCAGCCCTCCCCATCTCGGCAGGCGCCTCCCTCGGTGCCTGCTGTGCCTCTCCCTGACCCTTGCCCCGGCCCTGTGCCCATCCTCCTGCATGGGGCCCTGCTGTGCGGGGGAGGGGCAGGGCCGTCAATGGCCAGGTGCTGAGGGGATGCCTGCTGGGTCCTGGGTCCTTCAGCTGCTCCTGGTGGGGGCAGGGCGCTCATGGCTGTGAGCATGGCCCAGGCTCACAGCTCAGAAGGACCCCAGGGTGTGACTGAGGCACCCTGAGGAGACACGCCCCTCAGCCCAGGGGTTCCCACCCGCCAGGCTCGCCTCCTGGCTTGGGGGAAGAAGCCAGGCGTCCAGCAGGGTGGGGGGCTCCAGGGACAGGAGGGCCGACTGTCTGTCACTGGCCACGGATCCTGCTGCCATTCCCAGGAGCGGAGGTCACCCCTGCCCACTAGTGACTCATACTCCAGAACCAGAGGCAGAAGTGATTCTGTGTCGGTTTGGGCCCAGCCCCTTGGACAGTGCCACTTCCGGCTTTGCCCTCCAGGAGTGACAAAACCCTGACCGTCCTGGGACCACCATGCTGGGCAGAAACCCAGCCAGCCCTGGGGAGGGACCTAAGGCGTGTGTGAGGGGGGGTGATGGTGTCTGTGTACCTGTGCGGGGGCCTCCAGCAGGTGGGGCCAGGGGGACACTGCGGTCGGCCACACCAGCGCCAGGAGCACAGACTCACGAGAAACGACAAGTCGTGTTTAAAGCCACTGTGCTTCGGGGAAGCTTATTCTCACAGAGATCGTAAACTGAGACGAACAGCTAATGTGAGAGATTTCAGTTTCTCTTAGAGAGCTGGGGATGAATAAGGGATAAGAACATAAAAATCAAGCAGCCAAAAAAAAGAAAAAAAAGAAAAAAACAAGGCCAATTCAACTCTGCTGAGCACAGCTGAGCAAACGTAAAATACATTCACCACCATCCACGAGGATGAGCTGAAAATCTGACTATCGACACCGAGTCTCGATTAAGCCGCAGCAGGCTTGTGCGTGTGTGGCCAAAGAGCTGGGGATGCTAACACCGCAAAGTCTTCAACCTCCAGAGGAAAAAGTCTATAAACGGTGCCTAAGTGGATAAAATCGCGGACCGAGAACCAGCAGGTGCCCCCACCATTTAGAAGCACGAACTCTCTCATTGACCGCTTCGTACTAGTGGGGGGCTTTAAATCCGGACTTGTATGACACCGATGCAAACAGAAATTAAGTGAAACATTAGGTTCTCAAGAAGCAGCCTATTCCATCCCTAGTAGAGTCGGGGGGACCTGCAGAGAAGCCCAGGTCTCTTCCCATGGGCTCCCTGAGGCTGGGGAGGCGCAGGGGCTCCGATCCCCAGCCAGCCACGTGCACCACGCCTGCCCTGCTCGGGCGACCGGCCAAAGGCCCCAGGACCACCCAGCGTCCTCGGGGAGACAGTCAGTGTGGTGTTGGGGAGCAGAGCCCAGAGCACCCCCGATGGAGGACAGAAGAGCCTGGCCCCAGGCCGGGGCACACCGAGGCCCAGGGGTGCACAATGCGCCAACCTCCCCAGACACTCCAACACAAGGCTGCTGGCCACAGCACAGGGCGGTCACGGGTGACGGCCCCCCCGCTCTGTGACTGAGGCTGGGGCTCATCCGGACCCGGAGCCCAGCGTCTGGCGCCTGGGGCCCAGGACGACCCTGAGGAGGGGCCGAGGGGCTGCGGGCACGTCCTGCCACCTTGCTGCTCTCAGCTCAGCTTAGTGACCTTTGTGGCTTAAGAGCAGTGACCCCGCCGTCCAGCGGCCTGGCCGGTCCTTCTCTGTCCAATCACCAGGAAGAGACACCTGCAGGGGCCACAGCAGCCACACCACACACTCGCCTGGCCACAGGCGGCCCTGGGGCTCAGCCTGTGTCTTGCGACACCACCCCAGGTCTCCAGGGGAACTTTCCGGTAGGACCCGCTCCCGCCCCGTGCCTCCCCACCGCCCACGCTCAGCCTCCACCCCCACCCAGGGCAGGCACGGCCATCAGGCCAGTCCAAGGGAGCGGTCAGGCATCGCGCAGGGAGGGCCGGGGCCAGTTCCGTCTTCAGGACACGGGGAGCACGTGGGCGGGGCAGGACCCCGCGCACACAGGGAAGACCCTGTCACGACATCTGAGGCCGGGCTGTCACACACACGTGCTCCTGCAGGACCATCTTCCTCTCTGCCCTTTTGTCTCTTAGGCAGTGTGACCACCCGGTCCGGTTCCCCATGGGTGATGAACGTCCAGGCAAGAGCCACACGAGGCCAGACAGCCCACACGGGGCAGGGGTCCAGCAGCCCCATCTCTGTGTGACCCTGTGCCCATGGCTGCCAGGAGCTGCGCGTGACATGGGCGAGGAGGGGCCGCCGGGGAGTCTGCGCGTGACATGGGCAAGGAGGGGCCGCCGGGGAGTCTGCAGGGTTCGCATTAGGATCACGACTGCATTCGCTGGCACAGGTGGGGGCGACTGTCACACCGGAGACGGCCACTGTCCCTCCGCCCTTCCTGGGTCATTGGATGTTTTGGGACTTGAAGGGGCTCTAAGTGAAGGACGCCGCCCCTGGCCACAGAGACGCACACAGCCCTGGAGAGCATAAAACGGCCCAAGCCCCCTTCACGTGCGGCGGCCTTGGGCACATCCTCAGACACCCGCCAGCGAGACCCTCCAGAGAAAGACGCAGCCTGTGGCTGTCCGCACAGCAGCACCTGGCACCCTGACGGAGCAGCCACGCCCAGGTCACCGGTGTCCGGTGTTCGGGGGACTGGGTGACCCGGGACTGGCCTGCACTGTCCTCTCAGCTGACGGAGCCTCTGCCGGCTCACTTCCCTCCTCCCGCCCTCTGGACTCACAGGCAGGTCTGTCCCTTGACCACAGTCCCTGCTGTCCCTCCCGCCCCCGCCGGCTTGGACAGCACGGGAAAGACACGAGGCCCTGCCGAGGCCATGTCGGCGGCGGCTTAGAGAAAGGCTGGTTTTCCCAGGGGCTTCCCAGGCAGGATGACACGGGCCCCGGGCTTTCCTGCCCCCTCCCAGCCCCCACCCCCGTCTCCGGGACAGACCACCCGCCCGGTGTCCCCTGGTCCAGCGCCCAGGGCCACACTGCCACCTGCAGTGCTGACGCTCCTCCTGGCTGCTCCGTGCTGGCCTGGCGGACCCCGTGGGGGCAGCGTCCCCTCCAGGGATCCCACGCGGAGAGGCGGCGGAGGCCGCTCTGCTCCCTCTCGTCTGGCAGCCCAGTAACTGGCATCATAGGCTGGGGCTTGTCGAGAACGCTGCCGGCAACGCTGAAGACCGGGAGGGGCAGAGCCTGCGCCCCGAACCGCAGCCCCTCTGGCTCCGAGCGAGCAGGAGCAGCTGTGGTCAGGAGCAGGAACGGCAGGCGGCTCAGACCCAGCAGAAGCGGGTGCCGGGGCCGGCTGCCGGCTCTCCGTCCTCAGGCCGAGGGCGTGTGCAGGGCCCCGGGCCGCCGGCAAGCGCGCCCCGACACACGCAGACCAGCCCCCTGCGTGTCTGCCACTGCCAGCACCGCCCCACACTGGGCACCCCCACACTCGCATCCTGGGCTGTGGCCCCGTGTTCGGCCCCGAGCGCGGCAGCATGCGGCCTCCGATGCCACAGACCGGGCCCCATGTCACCGGCCTGGTCCCCAAGGTTCCCTCAGCCACATGCCCAAGCTGCCGCAGGTGCAGCACAGACCCTGGCAAAATGGGGGTGCAGCCCATCTCTCATGGAAAGCCCGCAGAAGCCAGCGAGGCCTTCGGGGTCAGGGCCACAGGGAGTGGCTTCGGAAATGCCAGCCCTTCGGGGGTGGAGGGCTGGAAGATGGCTGTCCGCAGTCCTGTTCCAGGGGCTGCCCAGGGGACCCCTCTCGCAGCCAGACCCCCCATGCCCGGGAGGCCTGGGGTGTCAGCAAGTGCTGACCGTCCGAAGTCCCGGGAACCCGCCCCCTAGAGAGGGAGATCCCACGGGGAAGAGCAGACGGCGCCCTGCCCGGCCGCGGCAGCAGCGTGCTGGTGGCCTGTCCTGCTGCGGCCAGCCAGGCTGGGGCGGGGCACAGTGCCTCCAGCACCAGGACACACCTGTCCCACAGAGGTCCGCGGTGCTCTGCGCACTTGGCCCATACCGCCAGGAGGGCGAACCACGGCACCCCATCCCATAGATGGAAGACTGGTCCCTGGGGAGTCACAGAGCCAGGGTTTGCTCTCAGGCTGGGCTCCCTGCTGGCTGTCCAGCGCCCAGCCTGCCTTGGCCCTGGAGAGGCAGAGGCAGATGGCTGACGTGTGTCCACCTGCCCTCTGTACAGCAGGCAAGGGAGATGGTGCCTTGCCGTGGCTCACGGGCACTGGGAGGGACGAGGTGGCTGGCAGGAGGGCCTTTGAGGGACCTACCTGCCCTGGAGCCCCTGGCCCAGCCCACTGGGACTCTGGTCAGCATCTCAGACCCACCCCCCGTCCCCTGGGGCCTGCAGGACACAGCTGTGGGCTCACACCCTCCCACGACTTGTCTTAGAAAAGGCTGGGAAAGGCCGGCTGAACAGGCTGCGGGTGCCCACGGCTGTCAGTGGGGAGGGGTGATGTCTGCGCACACCGCAGCTGTCCCCACACACCATGGCTGTCCCCACACACCATGGCCGTCCGCACACACCGTGGCCGTCCCCACACACCGCAGCTGTCCCCACACACCACGGCTGTCCCCACACACTGCGGCCGTCCCCACACACCGCGGCCGTCCCCTGGTGCTCCTTACACCTGGAGGGGGGGTGCATTTATGTGTCTGCTGCTGTCCAATACACCAGAGCACAGCACACACTGCGGGACGGGGCCCGGGGGAGGAGGCCCCGGGGGAGGAGGCTCCACACTGACCCGGCAGGCAGGTTTGGCTCGGGGCCTCGGGAATGTGCCTCATTGGGTATAAACCAGATCCCAATGGGAAAAACACAAAGATCTCTCCAAATGGAAAAAACAGTCAATGACCCTGAGTGTTTAGAGGCCATGACAGCCACGGAGCGAGGGGCCGTCTCCACGCGCTGACCCAGGAATGTGCGGTGGACCCCGGGGCAGGCCTGCCGGCAGCTCCGCACCCTCCCACGGCCCCCCGGACGCTGGCGGCACTGGTATCTGACACGCGTGTGTGGTGTCCACACGCTAAATGCCTGACATGCTGCACATTAGACAGGGGGCCCCCGTACGCACATTAAATACCTGACATATTACATATTAATTTTTACACGTAACGTTAATTACGGGAGTATCGTTAAGAACTGAGATTTTCAGCATAACGGAGATGCAAACGTAAAAGTCAACGACGAGAAAAAACCCAAATCAGAAACATCAGCATGCACTCACGGCCTCCTCGGTCCGAAAGAACATAATTCCCAGCTGTGTCCGCTGCACGAGCTACGGAAGGGCTGGGGCAGGACAGCGGGGGCTGTGCGCACCCTGCGCCCGCGTGCATCCTGCATGCGTTTCCCTGGGCGGGACCCAGGGCCCTAGGGATCGGCTGAGGCCAGGCTGGGACCGAGAGACTGACCCAGAGACCGCTGTGGCCACCGCAGTGCTCAGGAGCCCACGGGCCCGCCGGTCCGAGAGGAACAATCAAGCATCACAGGGGACCAAGGTGTGCGTGACACATCTGTGACATACGCGCCGGTCACACTGGAAGGGCGTCGGGAACCAATGCCGATGCTGGCCCTGCCTTTCTGTAAGACTGTGTCTCAAAGCCACGGGTGGCCGGTGTCCTCGCAGAGTGGCTAGGGAGCAGCTGAGGCCGGCCACCCCAAAGATGGGTCACTAGCAGAGAGCGGCCGCCAGCTGAGCAGGGGGTCCCGCCCGAATCTGATGGCACCGGGGGGCACAGTGGGTCCCTCCTGAGTGTCCGGGACCTTCTGACCCCGGCACATGCCCAGTCCAGGGCTGCAGATGAAGACCGCGGACCTAGGAAGCAGCAAAGACTCCAGCCTCTTCCAGGAGGCACAGGCGCCTGGCCGAGAGGCACAGGTGGGCTGGCCGCCCGAAGACCCTCCCCTCAGACTGGGAGCCGCCCCCACCCCACAGGCACCAGGTGCCTAGAGGAGCAACCGCACCCTGCCCGTGGTCCCTGCACACCCTGCCCGTGGTCCCCCTGCGTGGCTGCCCCCTGCCCCGCCGTGCTGCGGCACGCCGGTGGCCGCCCAGTCCTCCCTGACGCCAAGGTGCTGCCCGGAGGAGGTGGCAGGTGGGCAGGACAGAGCCCGCAGCAGGCTCGGAATTACAGGCCTTCGCTTCCTTCTGGAACAAAATAATTACAGCCCTCACAGAGGACCTGAGTTCCCTGCGTGCAACGTGGGACGCCAGCTGGGCCGTCGCCACAAGCAGAAGAACAATTCTGGCCGAGCCGGGAGGAGGAGGGAGGCCGGGCTGGCCTGGAGGGCGAGGCACACGGAAGTGTCAGAGCCGGGGACCCGGCCTGGGTGCTCTGGCCCCAGTCTGCCCAACAAGCACCACAGCTACACAGAGCTCGGGCACGGCCCGCCAGGCGCGACGCTGCCGCCAGCGACACCTCGCGGTTCCGGGGAGGGGGGTGGGGGGGCTGACTCCCATCGTGGTTCCCAGGGGACCGCCACGTCAGGGCGCTGCCAGCACACGCGGCCGCCTGCCCGGCCTGCGGACACTCCTGGAACAGTGGGTCCCTCCCTCACCACACGGCCCAGTCCGGCCCCGCCTCTCAGCGCCTCAGCCCCCGCCCTGGACCCAGCGTGGCCGCTGACGACACGCGTGGGCCGCGGACCGGCGGGCTGGGTGAGCGGTGCCCAGGACATCGGGTCCCGAACCTGGAGCACGGAATGGCACCTTTTACAGAAAAGCGTCGCAGCTGCAATTACGCCCGAGCTTTGCGGGGAGCAGGCTCCCCAGAGGCCGCCGCAGGGTTCTCATGAGGAGGAGGCAGAGGGAATGGGGCACAGCAGAGGGGCAGCGGCCACGGGACCACAGAGGCAGAGACCGAGATGACGCGGCCACAAGCCCGGGAGAGCCTGGAGGCCCCAGGACCAGGACGAGGCAGGAAGGACCCTCCCCTGGAGCCCCCGAGGGAGCGAGGCCCTCCGTCTCCTCGACTCTGAGTTTCTGGCCTCCAAAACCTGGGGAGAATCACTTTCCAGCCACCCGGTGTGTGGTCACTGGTGACAGTGGCCATGGAGGGCGAGGCCAGGCCCCAGCAGGGGAGGGAGGCTCTGCCGTGGGAGCCAGGAAGCGCCCTGCCTGCCAGCGGCCCGGCCACCCACAGGCGGCTGGACAGCTGCCCGGGGCCCTCCCAGCTCACGTGGGGCCTGTGATTTCCCACTGGCCCACAGGGCGGGGACATGGGATGGCACTCCACCTGCCACTTCAGGGAGGCGCCTTGGCTCCCCACCCACGCTTCAGCAAGCACGACGTACGACCTACATGGGTCCCCCACTGCCCGGCTCTGCCCAGGACAGGCCTGGGGCTCCAAGGCCAGCGCAGAAGGCGCTGTCAGGCCTCCCGTGGCACCTGGGCACTGGTCCTCGCACTTCCGGGGCCCTGGGGCACGCTCCCGATGACTGTCCACCCTGCGGAGGCCTCGTCACGCCTGGCACCATCCCTGCAGGCCCCCACCTTCTCCAGGTAGAGAGCCCGCCTCCCTCTTCAAGGCGCTGGCCGGAGGGGCTGACACTTCTAAGCAAACTCGTCCGCCAGGAGATTCCAGCCCACACTCCACAGCAACTGCGGGGCTGGCGCAGACCTCGGGGTACCGTCTTCGATCCTCAGGAAACGAAACCAAAGCCAATCAGGCAGAACCACTTTGCGCTCTGGTGCTGACGCGGTCCCACAGCCATGTCCCTGGGGGCAGGGCCCAGCCCGAGAACCACGGCCTGGAAAGCCCGTTCCGGGGTGCGGGTCCCTGAAGCCGAGCACCGGCAAGACTCTGCCTCCTGCCTCCTGCCCAACGGCTAGCCTCGAACCCGCTGGCTGCCTTCTCCCTGAGCTGGGGTCCCCTGCCGGCTGACCGCTGTCCCCGCTGTCCCCTGTAGCTGCCCACGGGGACCCGGGCTCTGAAGGTCACTCTGAGGACCGGCCTGCTCGCCCCTCCTTCGCTGACAGCATGCGTGTCCCACACACACAGGAGGGGCCTGCCCTCCATGCCGGCCCCCTCCTTTCACCCCCACCCCCCGACCAGACCAAGGGCAGGCCGGACCTTGAGAGCACAGGGGCTGGGCCAGGGGCCCTGTGGGTGGCCCCCAGGCCGGCGGGGCGTGGCCGCGGCCCAGGGGTCCCAGCTGAGCCAGGCCACAGCACAGACACCCAGGAGGAAAACTCCAGGGCACCTGGCTTCCCCCGGACCCCTCCCCCTCAGCAAGCCGGCCACCGTCCCCCTGGGGCGCCCTCACTTGAGACCCTCACTGGCTTGATGCCACCAGGCTGGTGCCCACGTCCAATGTGAAGGCCCAGAACAAAGGGGACACGTGCCTGGCTGGGGACAGGACGTGTCTCCCAGGAGCGACAGGGTGGTGACCAGGCCTGATGCAGGAGGCAGATGGGGACGAGGCCCTTGTTACTGCTTCACCCCCTGTACGTGCACAGCGGGCACACCAGGGGCCCCACCAAACCCCTCCCGCCACCGGCCAGCCTGCCCCAAGGCTGGACGACTTGTCACCTGGGACACTATGGCACCACCCAGGTGAGCAGGCAGGCCAGGCAAGGTCAGCTGAAGGTCACGGGGTCCACGGAAGAGGCCCAGCTGGGGTGGAGGACCATGCTTGTCCTCTGTACAGCCCCGACCCATCTCTGCTCTGTGGGCAGAGCCAGGAGGGGGTCCCAGCCACCCCACAGGGGACCCCACCCTGGGCATCCTGGAGCCTCTAGGCCATCATGGGACCGACCGGGGCCAGACCTGCTCACTGCCCAGGCACCAGCTGGTGGCGGCCACCAGGTGAGAGCACGCCCAGCACCTCAGGCCCAGGAAAGCTGGTGGCAGCTGCCCTCACCTCTTGGCCACATCCTGATACCGCGTGGTGGCCACAGATATGCCCCGTGGTGAAGGTTCCACGTAGGGCCTTTGGCTGGAGAGCCTAGAGTTCTCCGGAACGGAGGGACAGGGGGGCAAGACTGCCCAGGGCCAGCGCCAGAGCACCCAGCGCCTGCTCACAGGAGAGCCCACCCTGGCACCCGGAGGCGGGGGGCCGTGCCCCAGGGCAGACGGGTCAAGACCCCGGAGGGCCCCTGGCTCACAGGCGCACAGGACGGAGAGAGGCAGCTGCGGGCTTCGGGCAGAGAGGGGGTTGCGTTCCCTCAGACGAGGGACAGCAGGAAGCCCCTGCCCCGCCCCGGTCCCGCAGGGCCGGCAGAGGGAGGCGCTCCGCACGGCCACGAAGCACACGTGGCGGCCACGAAGCACACGAGGCTTCCTTCTCTGCCCAGGCAGCCGACGGGCCGGCTTCGGAAGCGCCTGCCCCGTGCTCCGCAGAGCTGGACGACACTGCCAGCGGGCGGGACGGTGTTCCGGGAGGCCCGCCTCACGGCGGCGAGCCAGACGGCTGGGCACCTCCCTGTGCCCGGGTGCGGGGCCCGGGGCGGAGGCACGGCGGCCACCCCCGTGCACACTCACCTGCCCGGGAGCCCGTCACGTCGCACACTGGGTTAAGAGCTCCCTGACTCCCGGGCCCACGAGCCGTGCGGCGCTGGCGGCCTCCGTTATGGCTTTCCGGTACAGCCCCTTCTTCTTGCGGTTAAATCTCAGTTTGAAAAATTCAGAGAAGGGGGAGAGTTTTGAAGTGGACAAGAACGACGTAGTCGGAGAACCAAACCACGAGACTTTAGCTTCTTGCCAAGAGGGCTCCCCGTCCTCCTTCTGGCTAAGGCTGATGTCAAGGACACGCGCTGGCCACCAAGGAAACCCGTGAATCTTACCCCACACGATGTCCCCCACGGCCACGGTCCTGCCGTCCTCGGTGATGCACCTGGAGACGCTCTGAGTGTGCAGCCTGACGGTCAGGGGTGGCACCGTCTGGCCCACATCCTTGGACGAGGACGGCCCAGGCATGCCATCGCCAGAGGACAGGTCACACGTGTCTGAGCTGGACGATTTGGACTCGTCCAGGCTGTCGCTGCCCCACACCGACTCACTGGCACAGTCTGTTCTGCTCCTCGGGCAGGTGGCGAGAAAAGCCAGGCCGTCACGCCCATGTTTACCCTGGGGACACTTCTTGCAGTCATCGTCCTCGCCAGAACTTCCAGACGACACGTCTGCCAGCCCGCCAGGGGCGGGGGCGGCGGCGGGGA